ACGAATTGTTCAGGGGGATGGGCACTTGTCCTGGGAGGGGACTGCACAGGGTGCCCTTCTGAACTAAAAATGAGGGCATCGTCTCCAGCCCAGGTACAACAGCAAGTTTCTCATGTTCGCTAAAGGCCATCTTCAGGCATTTCTCCCTTTCTAGCCTAGACTTGATTCACATTTTTTCACACATCTTGAAGACATAACAACCCCCTTCATAGTCAGTGGTGAAAGGGGTGGGCTCTGTCCTTACAGGCCACATTCAGAGGGCAGTCAGCTAAGATGAAAGAGAAAGACAAATGGATGCGTTCTCCTCTTGCTCACCTCTTATCTGCTATTAGCTGCAGAAAATTGGCTAGAGAGCTCTGAATTTGAACATTACACCCCTCTCACATGTTTAATGGTTTCAGCAGGCTATACCAGACATGGTTAAGTATGGCTCTTTTTCTTTTCTCATTCCTTTTGTTTTATATGAAGACTGCAACACAGGCCTTGCTTCCTTTACATTCAATACCAGTAAGATCCTACACAGAAGCTGGAAGGGACCAAAATACTGATTGCAATAAATATTTTTGGGCCTCCTTGTACTGACTGGGCAGCCAATGAAGGGGGAAGGAGGGGAAGGTCTCTGAGAGGCACCACCGATTGCTTCTATTAGGGCTACACAAAGAGACTCTGGCATTGCCATTAGCTGTGTGTGGAGACATCGGAGGAGGAGCTGCTGTTGCTGTTTGTGGTTTGGGCCCTCTTTATGTATAAGTTTAGTAGCTTCATCTGCAAAGAGAAGATACAAATGAGTTAGCAAACAGGAAAGCAATCAGAAAACAGAAGGAAAATCCAGGTGACAAAAAGAAAACAAGTCTCATAATTGAGTAACTCATTATATATACAAACATTTGCTGAATGCCCACTACTCAGATGGCACATCTGCCAAATGCTGAGGCCTCCTTGACCACACGAGGAGGTAGAGTCTGGAGGAGAGGCAGACCCACTGGGTCATTACAGAGAATGAAGTGTATTATGACCAGGTGGGCCACAGCACACTCCGGACAAGGTGACTTTCTAAGGGCTAATCACACAGCTCAGGGTAATTACAGCTATGGGCACCATCCAAACTGGCAGAAAAGTAGGGTAAAGACACATAATCTACAAGGAGACAGTATACCTAAGGCTCTTTCCTTGCTGAGGCTCAATCTTCCACCTAGAATGCTTTCTCTCTGCACCCCCATTTCTGCCTACTGAAACCTACTGAGTGGACCTGAGACTTAACTTAAGAGGCCAGTCCATGCAATCTTCCCCCTCTGCTCATGTCTTCCTTGTACTCCTGTGGCACTGTTTCTTCCTGACTGAGCATATGCTGCCTCACATACAATCAGCAGTGGTTGACTTGCTTGCTCCTTCTGGTAATATTAGACCTCTGTGACCCAGATACAGCATCACTAAATTACCACTGCCTTGGATTGGTATAATGTTTTACTGTTGGGTTTTCATATCTTTACATGTGAGATCACATTTGCTTTTAACTTAAGTCCCCCTGGATGATCCTCAAATACATAACACAGCATGTAACATAGTATGTTCTTACTTGTTTAATGTCACTAAGGTATTAGGTTAATAATAGGCCTGATCATATTAATAACAGCTTTTTGTAGAAGCAGAATGCCCATTAAAAATTTATGTAATGGAGGTGGGGAGGGAAATGTACTGGACTATGGTGACGCCACATGGATGATTTAGTGATGGAAAGCCCAAGGAGATTACAACTGGGATGGAAAAAGGCACAGAATGATATAAAAATAAACTATTATATTATTTAAAAAAAAGTATATATTTAAAAAATTTATGTAACAGGGACCTCCCTTGTGGTGCAGGGGTTAAAAATCTCAGAGTTATTATGCTATCACCAGTCACTGTGTCATGAGTTCAATTCCCAGCTAGGGAGCTGATCCCACATGGTGCAGCAGACCTTTTCTGTATTGCTCACTACTCCCCTCAGCAGTATATTTCAGTCAATCTGCCAGTTCTGCTCCCCACCCTGTCTCTGGTAAATGCTCTCATCTCCCTTTCCCCGCACATCTCTAGGCTACACCCCAGTTCTTGAGTGCATAAATAAAATCAATCTTAAAAATAATCTAAGTAACATACTATGTGAATGATTAAGGAAATTATGAAATATTCATCACCACACATCCTTTTCTGGCTTGCTTTAACAAAGCTGTGAGGTACAGAAAATTACAAGTCAGTCTAAGGGAGGAGAAACTGCTCCAGAAGGATCTAGGAAGAGGGACTTAGGAAAGCATGGCCTTCATGGCCAGCAGGAACAAGAATAGCAACCACACATACACAGGTCAAACTCTCCAAACAAAAGTGAGAGACTGGCAGAATCTCTTTTGGATTCTCTTTTATCTTTTGGAAAAAGAAACGATCCACTTATATGCTGACTATAAGAGACTGACTTGAGATCCAAAGGCACAAATGGTTAAAAGTGAAAGGATGGGGGCCCTCCCTGGTGGCACAGTAGGTTAAAACACAGCACTAAGAAGCTAAACACCACTTCCTCATGAGTTCATCCCCACCTGCCCTGGAGGTGACCACATGGCACAGCAGACCTCTCCTGACCTGCCCGCTGCTCTCCTCAGCAGTGTACTTCGACAATCTGCCTGTTATGCTCCACACTCTGTCCCTGGTGAATCCTCTCACCACCCTGCACCTCTGGCTTGTACCCCAGTTCTGAATGCATAAATAAATAAATCTTAAAAAAAAAAGGTAAGTGAAAGGATGGAAAAAGATATTCCATACAAATAGACATAATGGAATAATACTATTCAGTGATCAAGAAGATAAACTCATGCCTTTTGCAGCAATATGGATGGAGCTAGAAGGATTATGCTAAGTGAAATACCTTAGAAAGAAAAAGATAAATACTGAATGGTTTCACTTATAGGTGGAGCATTGGAAAACCAAACAAAGGGTCAGGATAAAATGTCAAAACCTGTAAGATGATCACAGACTTGAGGCAAACAGCAAGGGAAGAGGAGGGAAAGGGGTCAAAAGAGGGAAAACGTCATAGACTGTGGTGGTTCATGGGTGCTATGGTGGTGGGAGAACTATGGGGACTACAATTATGTAGAACAATTATGTAGGAAATGGAAAAAAAGAGTATATTCCTATTCCAAACAATTAATGAACAAGCATATGGGGATGGTTAAACTAGTAACAGACAAAACAGACTTTAAATTAAAACAAGTCATAAGAGACAAAGAAGGGCTTTATGTAGTAGACCAATATAGCAATAAGATAAATCAATAATAAACATCTACATATCTAATAATATGCCATCAAAATTTATAAGCAATAAATCAACAGAATTGAAGGGAGAAGTAGTTTTACAACAATAGTTGGAAACTTCAATGCACCGCTCTTAATGATGAGTAAAAGAAAGTTAACAAATAAGAGAATAGAGAATTTCAACACAACAAAACCATATCTAAGAGACACACACAGAACACTCTAATTAATGACAACAGAATATACATTCTTCTCAAGTGTACACGAGACATTTTCCAGGATGGATAGCAGGAGAAAGATAATGAAGATTAGGGCAGAGATGAACAAAATAGAAAAATGATAGAGAAAAATCAATGAAATAAAAAATTGGGGCCCTCCCTGGTGGCGCAGTGGGTTAAAGCACAGCACTGAGAAGCTAAAGCCACTTCCGCATGAGTTCGATCCCTGCCTGCCCCGGAGGTGACCACATGGCGTGGCAGACCTCTCCTGGCCCGCCCGCTGCTCCCCTCAGCAGTGTACTTCGTTGATCTGCCTGCTCTGCTCCCCATTCTGTCTCTGGTGAATCCTCTCGCCACCCCTGAGCCTCTGGCCTGTACCCTAGTTCTGTATGCACAAATAAATAAATCTTTAAAAAAAAAAAATTGGTTCTTTCAAAAAAAAATCAATGGACTGGAAAATCTTCAGCTAAATTGACAAAGAAAAGATTTAAATTACTGAAATAAAAAAATGAATATGGGGACATTAGTACTTATTTTGCAGAAATAAAAAGAGCTGTATGAATAACTGTATATCAGCAAATTAGATAATCCAGATGAAATGGACAAATATTTAAAAACATACAACCTACTAAGGCTGAATCACAAAGAAAGAGAAAATTTCAACTGATTTTTTTTAAAAGATTTATTTACTTGTGCATACAGAATTGGGGTACAGGCCAGAGGCTCAGGGGTGGCGAAAGGTTTCACCATAGACAGAGTGGGGAGCAGAACAGGCAGACTGACGAAGTACACTGCTGAGGGAGCAGCAGGCGGGTCAGGAGAGGTCTGCCACGCCATGTGGTCACTCCCGGGGCAGGCGGGAATCGAACTCATGCGGAAGGGCTTTAGTTCCTCAGTGCTGCGCTTTAATCCTCTGGGCCACCAGGGAGGGCCTCAACTGATTTTTAAAAAGATTTATTTATTTATTTATGCATACAGAACTGGGGTACAGGCCAGAGGTGTGGGGATGGTGAGAGGCTTCACCCGAGACAGAGTGGGGAGCAGAACAGGCAGCAGGTGGGTCAGCAGAGGCCTCCCCTGCCATGTGACTCACCTCCGGGAAGGAGGATTGAACTTGCACTGAAGCGGCTGCAGCTACCTTGTAGTGCTGCGTCCTAACCTGTTGAGGGAGGGCCCTCAACTGACTTTTTTGATACTGAATCAAAAAATCCCTATACAAAGAAATGCCTTAGTCCAGATGATTTCACTAGTGAATTATACCAAACATTTAGAGAAATAACACCAATCCTTCTCAAACTTCCAGAAAATTGAAGTGGAAGAACACTTACACTTTCAAGCTCATGCAATGAGGTGAGCTTGTCCTGATATCAGAGCTAGACAAAAACATACAGAAACTA